GAATCTACCACTCTGGGCACCACTTCTGCAGAAACTACTACCCTTGGAACCACTTCTGTAGAAACTACTACTCTGGAATCCACTTCTGCAGGACCCACTTTTGGAGAAACCTCTACCCTGGGCAAAACGTCTGCAGTAACTACTACCCTTGGAACCACTTCTGTAGAATTTACCACTCTGGGCACCACTTCTGCAGAAACTACTACCCTTGGAACCACTTCTGTAGAAACTACTATAGAAACTAGTACCCTGGGCACAACTTCTGCAGAAACTACTACCCTTGGAACCTTTTTTGTAGAAACTACTACCCTGGAAACCACTTCTGCAGGACCCACTTCTGCAGAAACTACTACCCTTGGTACCACTTCTGCAGAAACTACTACCCTGGAAACCACTTCTGCAGGTCCCACTTCTGCAGAAACTACTAGCCTGTGCAAAACTTCTGTAGAAACTACTACCTTTGGCACAACTTCTGCAGAAACTAGTACACTTGGTACCACTTCTTCAGAAACTAGTACCCTTGGCACCACTTCTGCAGAAACTAGTATCCTTGGCACCACTTCTGTAGAAACTACTACTCTTGGCACCTCTTCTGTAGAATCTACAACTTTGGGCATGACTTCTGCAGAAACTACTACCTTTGGCACAGCTTCTGTAGAAACTACCATGGAAACCACTTCTGCAGAACCCACTTCTGCAGAATCTAGTACCCTTGGCACCACTTCTGTAGAAACTAGTATCCTTGAAACCACTTTTGCAGAAGCTACTTCCCTGGGCACAACCTCTGCAGAAACTTGTACCCTTGGCGTTACTTCTGTAGAAATTACTACTCTGGGCACAACTTCTGCAGAAGCTTCTGCCCTTGAAACCACTAATTTACAAACTACTACCCTTGTCGCAACTTCTTCAGGGCCCACTTCTGCAGAAACTACTACCCTTGGTATCACTTCTGCAGAAACTACTACCTTGGAAAACACTTCTGCAGAAACTACTACCTTTAAAACCACTTCTTTTGAATCTACCACTCTGGGCTCAACTTCTGCAGAAACTACTACCCTTGGAACCACTTCTGCAGAAACTACTACTATGGAATCCACTTCTGCAGGACCCACTTTTGGAGAAACCTCTACCCTGGGCAAAACGTCTGCAGTAACTACTACCCTAGGAACCCCTTCTGTAGAATTTACCACTC